ACATGTGACAGTGGATGCATTGGAGTCCCTAACTGTGATGATTTTTTTTTTTTTTGCCAAAACTGCAAATAATACAGTGATCCATATTATAAAGACTAGGTAAACCACACAGGTCAGAAACAAGTTTCCAGACGGAGCTGAAAACCATTAAAGGGCCACAGTGTAGCAGGTATCTAGATTAATTTATTTTTATAAGGATCATTTTCATTATTTTGAAAATGATCATTTAGAACAGTAAAAGGTCGGCGTAAGAAAGAATATAATCTTCAAGGATATTTCTCAAAGAATCAAATATCTCTCAGAATCAAAATAGAATTATATAGCCAAGAAACAAAGCCAGGTGTGAGAAGTGTGCAGGGGGAAATGGCACTGACTTGTAACTGAGTCCTGCCACATAGTTGATTGACTGTGTGGGAGAAGTGGGAGCTCTAGCTAGGCCCGAGGTTACTGGCTTTGGGGCCAGTACTGTATCAAAGGTGACCACTCCCCAAAAAGCAGGTGGCTGCTGAGTGTTAGTGACAGACGGCTCCAAAATCACCCTTTTCAAACAGAAAAGGTCAGGCTGTGGATCCAGGTGTGGAAAGGTAAAGCAGGTGGTGGCTTGTGCCACCCCCAGGTCAGTGCCTAGCACTTCACATAACTGACTACAAATTAAAGGTTACAGTAACACAAGTTTATGTATGCCTCACAAATTGACAACTCCACAGCCTCCTCCTTTCCTCCTCTCATTGTAGGTCCCAGGTTTGGAGTTCCCAGAAGTGTGTGTCCACATTGTTGAGGCAGGAGAATAGTAGGCATGTCTCACTTGGGTCCCGTAAAGCCTCTGCGCAGAAGTGATGTACCTCAGGTCACTGTTACATGTCATTGTTAGTGAACTGGCCACACCTAGCTTTCAAGAGCCATTCCATCTTTGCATGTGTCAAGAATGACTCCAGGGTCTGTTATGGTGGGAGCTATGGGAAGACAGCTTGATTATCTGCAGGCATGCCAGAGTATCTTAGGGAAGTTGTGTTATAAAGCTGGAGAGTTTGCATCTTGAGAGACCAGGACAAGAGAAACGGAACTAGGAGCTTGAATGCAGTGGTCATAAATCAAGTGAACGTAATAACAGGTGAGAATAGAGCCCGTTCAGAGGTGGGAAAAGACCAAGGTTGATAAGCTTGTGGATACAGATGTTGTGACCCTGAAACCCTGTATGTTTGTTGCAGCTGGCTGTAACTTTTACATTTTATCTAGTGGTTGCCATGGGGTTCAATGAATCACTTAAACAGAATGTGGCTTTTGTAGACTCCCAAATTGCTGACTGGTGTTCAGTGATTTAAAGAGTGTCTTGAGATTTTGCAGGAAGCTCTCCACAGTTTTTCAGCCCAGCAGGAGAGATGATACCTTGCAAAGGGTACCTATCTACTGTCAGTTGGAATGGAAGAAGGCTAGTTATATGGCGATTGATACCAAGATCACTGAGTACTCAGAAAATTTGAATGCCTTCATTTTCTTTCCTGTCTGCCTCAGACAGCGAGATAGGCTTATCCTTGCTGTAATGATGTTCTTTTTATAGCTTCAATTACTGGCAAAGGGAGGTAGTTAATAGCAGTTTTCCCCACAGACTGGGGTTCAGACATAAGACTTGCATTTCCTATTCTCCATTCTCTCAAAAGGTTCTTACACATTTGCCATAGGGGGTCTACACTAGAGTACTCACTTTTGAAACGTTTTGTGTGTACACATGTAATTACTTACTCTCACCAAATCAATTCTTCTTTCTTCAAAATTGTATATTTATCAGAAAAATGAAGGACTAGCCTGGCCCTGCTGCATGCTCTCAGTCTTTTTTTCTGAACCAAGTTCTCATGTACCGTGTAGCCCAAGCTAACCTGAGACTCACTCACTGTGACCAGGATGACTGCAGGCTCCTGATCCTGTTTAGTGTGATGTCAGGGATTAAATTCAGGGCTTCCTACATGTTAGACAAGCACTCTACCAGCTGAGCCACATCCCGAGCCCATCATTATCTTTTAATGGAAAGTGTGAGGCTTTGTGATAGAGTAACGATGGCAAAGTGGCAATTCCAGCCTTCACAGTTGGAGCAATCAATGTTTCATTAACTTTCTACTTTCCGATAGCCCTATGAGTGACTGAAAGAGGTTTAAATAGGAAGCTAGCTTTTACTTTTTATGCATATAGGTGATATGTATGAATATATCCTATATGTCTGCATCATATACGTAACACTATATGCATTATATATGTGCATAATACACACACATATACGTACCCCAAGATGGAATAATTATACATCCATAAAAAATGGACTTTCACCAAAGGATTCATATGAACACAAAACAAGAAAATCGGTATTAAATTCTATTACATTGAACTTTATAGTTACCACACTGATCTTTCAAGGAGACAAACTGGAAGCAGAATTATAGAAAGTACAAAATTAGCTTCAGTCCAGTCTTTAGAAAAGATCAACATGCCCTGCCATTGAGGAAGGAATAATGGCACCTGGTTTGTCAACCATTTATCTTCATTACATGTAATTAAAACTTAATCTCAGTATTGCTATTTTCCTACAATTTAAGTGTGATTCATCATGAACGGGATATGCACAAACAATTCACCTTTGACACTTGCTGGCAAGTGTGTCAGCTTGCTCCAGCTTGCACAGAGAAGGGCGGGAGGATGAGGCCAGGTTCCTAACATTGCCCTGCCAACATGTAACCTCACGTGCTTATTTATAGAGCTGTTGGCTAACTAGACACTAATTTCTGTTCTCAGAATTGGCCCATCCTGGCCCACAGAAATCCCGATACTGACACTGAGATGTTAATTGAGTGCTAATTAATGTGTTTACATTATTAAGAAGCTACCACTATCTTGAGAACACAAGCTTTTACCTTCTTGACAGGAGCACAGAAAACTGTGAAACACAATAGTTGTGTGTTCTCCAAGTGGGCTAAGGCCCTAGTGTTCACACCTGTGTAATAATTAGAGTTCACATTTATCCAGGACTAATTACGGCGCTGGCAATTGTTCAGTTATATACGTGATCTCAGTTGTCTGGAATAGCCCTGACGTAGGACAGATTTGCAGGTCATGGAGCCGGGAAGTGCAGTCAGAGGCTGGAGGCCTTGAGAAGGCAAACACAGTTCCAGCCTACCTCTCCTAGTCCTCACGCTGGCCAGCATTCCTCCCTGTTTGTGTTGCACTTTGCAAAATGAGACAGTTTGTTGTTGATTGTTTTTAAGAGAAACTGAACCTTTCTAGGCAAAAGTGCCGAAAATAGGTCTGCCTCAGTAACCAGTGGGAAGCCCCGCCAGCGGGAAGCACCGGGAGAGTTCCGCGAGAGTTCCGTAGATCCCTTTCCAGAGCACAGGAGCTGGAGTGACACTGAGGACCCCGGCGTCTGGAATATTTGTGCCCTCCCACCCGTACTTCCCAGCAGCGGGGCTAAATGGTGGCATCTAAGGACAAGATAAAGAAGTGGGAGGTGGCCCATAACAATACTAATAATTTTCAGTTTTTGTTCTTGGCTTTTAAAACACACATTCCCAAATTGCCCTCAGTGGTCGGTGTGTTTGCGTGCATTTGTATTGTCTACGCAGATATCCGTAAGTACAGGGATAGCCATCACTTACCAGGAGATGGGACTTTAAGGAATGCTCGCCTTCTTTTCAATGAGCCCTTCCCTCTGGTCTCTTGTATCATAGCTCATGCCGTAGTCAGGGGGACAGTGTGCTTTATGCTACAGGAGGAAGGAGCAACCGCTGTGGAAACCAAGCAGAAACAAGCTGCAGGGGTGACAAGAACACTGATGTGTCATGAACAAGCGTGTGATCACACTTAGCTTCCAGTTACAATAATCAATAGATTCCTGCTGTCCAAAACACAGCAGGATCGCACCAGTTTTACGTTGTTATAACATTAGTGGTGATTCTTGCCCAACTATTTCAAGTTGTAAGAAAGTAGGTGGACATCCGAGTTCTTCACATAACGTTAAAGTATTCATAGATAGACTTACACTCCTGTCTGAGGCCAGAGTGTTCTGAGGGATGTGGATAGCACCTCATGATGGAGCAAACCTCCACACCATGTATGTCACTAAGAATGGAAAGGCTTACCTCATGCATCTTGACTTCACTGTTTTACACTGAAGTCTTTAGTTTATGAGCTAGCATGCACGGAATAGGGACATTATTGTTGTATGTGTGCTGGGTGGTGGTGTTAGCAGTGCCCTGTGACAGGAGTGCTACAGAAAGCTTCTCAGAATTGGAAATGTTCACACCAGTTCACACCAATCTGACCTCACTTTGTTTAAGTACGCTCCTACCAAGTAGTGGTGAGTTTGCCCTAAGCCTGAGGTTGGCACCTGGGCACCCCAGGCTCGCTCTGGCCTGCTGACGGTCTAAGTAGCGGCCGGCGTTTTACTAGAAGACTGTGCACTCGTGCAACACTTCCTCAGTTGCTTTTGCACGACTATCACAGACGTGAATAGAAATTGCATAGTCTAGTGACAGAGTCCACCAAGCCTAAAATCTTTACCATCTGCTCACTAGAAAGAACAAATTGGCCAACCCTCATCTTGTTCTTAGCTACTTAACTTTAGTGTTCATTTATATGGATGGTGGTTACATGTCTGCAGATATTGTGAGACTGACAGGCTTGTATATGAGTCTCATGCTTGTTCATTTAATAGATGATAGGTATGGACCAAAAGAGATCCTAAAATCGACCCATTTAGGAATACAGTGTGACAATCCCTTATTATCTATGTCACTGTTATCTACATGTGAAATGGCATAATTTCACAGGCCAGGCTTTTACATACCCTCTCATGAGATACCTAGATAAGACAAACTAAATTCTTTAATATAATACCACAGAGCATAGAACCGAAGAGCCAGAGTCATCTCATTTGACAAAGCAAATTATAAAATTCTTCAGGTTTTCTATGCTTTCATTAATGTGACTGAGAACTGTGGAAATAAATTGAAAGCATGGTCGCAGTGGAGAAGGCAGGTGGGAGGAACAAAGAAATTTAAGGCCCCACCTACAAGAAATGTTGAAATTTGAGTAGGAATGCTGAAGCCACAGTCTGTAGGTCCTGAAGAATAAAGAGTTGAGAGCAAGGCCATGGTTACCTGAAGTCCATTGCTGGGACTGTGATGGTTCTGGAGAGGACTGTGGAGGGTGCATACGGGACCCTGAACAGAATCCTCACTAGTGATGGACTTACTGAAGCCTTAGAACAATGGCACATCTATGAGAAGCCCTGCCGCCGCCAGCGAGAGAGCTGTGAAACATGCCATAGGATCTACCACATGGAAATGGCTCCAGAGATGAACTTCGTGATGCGAAAGAACCGGGCAGATCCACGGCAGGGCTGCTAAGGCCTGTGAATAGAAGACCCACGTTAGTTCTGTGTCCAGCTCTTCTTATCCAACCCCAATCTCTGTTAATGTTCTCTACAATAAACTCAATCTCTCTCATGCACACAGGAAATGTTGACATTTACTGTTAGAGTTACATCATTTTCACAACTGTTGCAGAGTTAGAAGATTGAATCTGTAGCCGTTGTGAAAGGTAGTGAGTGCTTCAGTATTTTTCTGTGCCATAAAACAAGTAGGTTAAACTTTATAGATGTCATCGGTCCATTGGTGAAAGAGAAAATTGATAGGCTCCCGCTCCCGCATTGAGGGGTGTGTAGCTCAGTGGTGGGCACTCTATTGAAGGGTATGCTTAAGACCATGGGGCTTACTTTACAGCAGGGGTGGGGGAGGAAAGGGGAGTGAGGAGAGAGGGAGGAAAGAAGAGGTGGAAGGAGACAGAAGGAGGAGGACCAGGGAAGGAAGAGGGTGGATATTTTGCAATTCAAAAACTTGTTTTTCAGTAAAGTCAAGGAAATTTGCATATAATCTGAGGTGAAGGATCTCATACCATAGGGTTAAGGATTACACATTTGATGGTGACTTTATTAATAGGTTTTTAAATATGAAAAAGAAAAATTCAAAACTTGAGAATGTCATTGAATTATGATGTGGTGTAGAAAACTGTTGTTTATTAAAGTTATCTGTATTAAATTCCAACCTGAAAGAAATTCTGAAATTTGGTAGCAGATATTCTCATTCAGAGTCTCTGGCGAAAGCTACTTCCTAGTGAGTGTAAGTCAGGTGGTGGTGGTTGCATTGTGGACGTTTGTCTAGGAACAGCAAAGCTGCCTGTCATTGTGTTCTTTGTGTGGACAACTGTGACAGTTGAGCCCTGAGAAGACCAGGACAGAAAACAGCCTGTAAAAAGCCAGTGCTGCTCATTCTGGACAGCGCGTGGGAACACTCAGCAGGGCTAGACGGCCGTGTCTGTGATACACACAGTTTCGTCATCTCAGTGGCTTGGGAATGTAATCCCCGCTTTTATACCTCGAATCCCCAGAGGAATTGCAGGAGGTTGGGGAGTAGTGTCAGTGGGCACAATGATCATCATCAGCTTAGGAAGCCTCATACAAGCCATGTTCTGACCCCATAGTGACAGCAAAGTGGGAAGCAGGAACAGAGCCTTGTGCTTCTGTTTTCCCATTTCTGTTTGCTCGGGAGGTTGTTAATTTGAACCATTCAGGTGTGAATTCCAGCCCTCATTCTTTCTGGTCACTGTGTGAACCTGGAAAGTCAGGAAACTTCTCTAAGCTTCCCTCCTTCCCTGGAATGTTTCAGCATCCCGTTTTGTCCAGGATTATCCCAGGATTATCCTCTGGTGCCCATGGAATTGTGTATGGTCCCCTTTCCCACTCAGAGCACCCTTGTAGGGCTGGAGAGATGACTCAGCAGGTAAAACGTTGAAGTCTGGGTCCCTAGAACCCATGTGAAAGCCAGAGAAGTTGTTAGCACTTGCAATTCCAACACTCTGGAGGCGGGGACAAGGGTTCCTGGGCAAGATGGCTGCCTAACTTCCCAGAATCAACGGTGAGCTCCAGGTTCACCAAGAGCCCCTGCTTCGGTGTAGTAGAGAACGGCGGAGGGAGACACCTGACATTGAAGTCAGGTGTACACACACACACGGGCACACATATGCATATGCCTCTGCACAAACACATGTGAACATACGTACCAAATAGACACATGCAAGGGCTAGTGTCCTAGAACTGGCAACACATGGGCATTCTGTTGACTGGAGATAGGACCTCCATCCTCATCAGGGTGCCGTGATGAAATTAAATGACATAAAAATGAACAACGCAGCTCTGCTTACATTTCCTGGTGTACATGGCTCTGCTGCTGAAATAATGTGAGTGTAATTTTTTTCTATTATTACCTCACTGAACATTTTTGATAGGTGAATTTAATTTAATACCAAATGACCTGGTTCTGGGATTATTATACATACTAGTTTGTGATTTAAGTGTTTAAACTTTTTAGTCGGTGGACATAACTTGTCACTGACAGTAAGATGATTCAGTTTAGAATCCTACAAAACAAGTGAATTTTACACGCACAGTTTTGGCAGTTTTAATCTAGAAGTCTAACTGTCAGCCGTACATCTTGGTTTCATCATCTTTTATTAGATTTCTGACCTATATTCAAAGGCAAGAAATAACTAATTCATGAATTCTATATTACCATATGCCATGATTTTGATAAGACTTTCCAGTGCATTTCCTTCTCTCAGGCTGTCTCTTTCTGCTGACTCAGTGAACGTGCTCTGGAGGAGCACACACCTCTGCTGACACAGTGAACGTGCTCTGGAGGAGCACACACCTCTGCTGACACAGTGAGCGTGCTCTGGAGGAACACACACCTCTGTCCATGCAGCTGGTGGTGCTGCACATTGCCAGTGCACCGCTGTACTCACAGGTTACTGATGTGCTACGTGATTAACAGAAGAGCGTCTTTTCTGGTCACGAAGGAGGCTGAGAGGTCTGCTGGTCTGCCGGCCTCTGTGTGTGTATGATCCTGGATGACAGCTATAGACCTTTGAGTCATTCCACGTTCACCCATTAACTGCACATTTTCCCATCTGCCTCCAAGACCTTTTAAAATGAGCTGTACTTCTCCCAGTGGGGAATCCCAGAGCTCGGTGCTGAGTTATGGAGACATGAAGGATGAAGTGGGAAGCAGTGAAGCTTGAGGTTTGGTGGTGGTGATCCAGGTAGAATGTCTCAAGGGGGCTGTTTCTCTCTCTTCTACCTCTGCTCTTCCATAGGCCCCATTCTAGTGTCTCAGACTAGCAATAGCTCCAGACAGATCCAGGCATGGAATGAGAAGCAAGACACACCCCTTCAGGAGGAAGTGTTGGCTGTGTTGAGCCTTGAAAGACATTCAGGAGTTAGCCAGCTCAAGAGAGCCTGCTTGGTTTTTGTTTTTGTTTTTGGTTTTTTGTTTTCTCTCTCAAATACCTCTTTGTCATATGAAACCTTCTCTTAATCTTTGAAAATGAGGTCTGTCAGTTCCCCAAGAACATATGCATTCAGTTTTTGAAAACAGCTGATCTAGGAACAGGGAAATAAAGCTTCCTCCCCCACGCTGGGTTATGTGTCTGGGCAGGTTGGAAAGGTTGGAATGGGACCTGGTTCTGCTGGGGACAGTGTGGTTCTAACTTCTGTTAGGGCCCACTTCTGTTCTAACTTGATTTTTTTGATGATTGCCCTCACAGAGTGACTATCCAACCCAGAATGGAATGGTAAATTTTTCAGTTCCCAAGTGTGCATGGGGATTGTTGCTGGGTTTTGCCATATGGCGTGACTGTAGAAAGACCTCTAGAATCAGAAAAGACCTTGTATGCCAGCACGCCAGCCAAATAGATGACACTTAGAAACCTAGGCTAGAGTTCCACTGGCTGAATCAAACACATTGACCAGTAGATGGACTTTGGATTGTTTCTGGCTGGAGCTGTCATCTACACTGCTGATTGAGTGTTTGTATGTAAGTTATTGTCTGAACATCTGTTTTCATTTCTTTTGGATTCACATTTAGGAGTTGCTGAGTCATATGGCAGTTCTCTGATGAGTCATTTGAAGCACTGACAGAATGTTTTCCACAATGTCTGCACCCTTTTACATTCCTGCCAGTGGTGTACAACAATTCCAATTTCTACATTTTGCGTATTTGTCTCTTGGTTGTTGCAGCCATCCCGACAGGTGTGCTGTGTCTCACAGTGGCTTTGATGCATGTTTCTCTTAATTCTCCAAGAGTGTTGAATACCTTTAGTACTCATTAATGTTTGTTTCTCTTCTTTGGAGCAATGCTTCGTTGAATTGTGTGTTTGCTTTTAAATTGGATTCCTATTTATGCAGAATTGTTAAGGATTCTGGGTATGATCTGAGTATAAGGCCTTTGTCAGCTAAGTGTTATGCAAGTGTTTCTAACCACCACATGGGCTATCTTTTCACTTTTCTTGATGATATCTTTAGAAGCACAAATGTCACTAAGTCTTAAATATTGCCCAAATTGAACATACTTAGTTTTTGCATTGCTTACACTCTGGGTGTCAAATATGAGAAAGCGCTGGTAATCCAAGGTCATGGGCTTGCTCATAGGATTTTCCTTTTAGAGTTTAGAGTTGTAGTACATTTGGAACTTTATCCAATGAGTTAATTTTCATATAAATTTTTATCAAATGCTGAATTGTCTGCTTTGTCCAATTGTATTATCTCTAAATTATTTCTGGCGTTTTAGTCCCCTGAAATTAGATGAAAAGTTTGAAGGAAAACCTTTCACATGCCTGTCTCGTTCTCTGGAGGGCGGAGGACCCTCTTTGACAACATAGCTATTCAGTTCAATTTTTAAGCTCTATCGTGAGCCGAAGAATACATATTTTCTCTTCTGCAGTAGCAAGTGCAGCATGCTTCCGAACGCTCTTGCTCTGTTAACCTGAACAGTTGGTCTCTGTTCTAGAACAATCTCTTCCTTTTCTGAGGACACTTGTTTGGGACCTTTCATTGAAAGCATCTCTCTTCCCATCAGCTTCTTGTCTAACAATGAACAAAGCCATCGGGCAGAGGGCTAAAGCTGAGGACATGCAGGTGACCTGGAAACCCTAGTGCTATCTTCTCTGTCAAGGCTGGAAATGAACATCCTTTCCGAAGCTGAGTTTCTGTAGCTTCCCAGCCCATTCTTCTCCAGCGATTTGACAAGCAGACTTTCAAGAAAGTAACCTATGGGCTTTTCTTATTCTTTGCTGTGCTTAGTTCAGCATTCGGTGTGCCACTCTGTGTACACAGCACAACTTTCATTTCTGGATGTCAGGATCAGTTCAAGTGTGCTCTGTGTCTCGGAAGAGTTCTTTCCTGGCTGAACCCCTGCATGGTGAGTGAAAAGCCAAGATTGAAGTCTTCCCTTGAAGTAACGTGCAGGTTCTTGTTGGTGCCTTATATTCTTTGGATATACCTTGCTTTTCAGGTATTTGAAATTTGTTTTGGCCTAAACAATAGAGTTGTATACTTT